TGAATTAATGTGGGATGCAATTATCTCATAGCTTCTGGACACATGATTAACCCCCCACCCCCCCACTTAGTGAGGATTCATAGTTTGATCAAGGAAAGTGTGCATCTGCAGTTAGTCAAACACAGCGACACAGTGAGGAAATGCATGAGATTATGAAACAGGAAATGGCCATGAATAACAAATTAGCCCCTGTTTAAGCACATTATACCAGGGAACAAGATGCTGATGCTTTCTAAATTATTATTTATTGTTCTCTCTGTCTGGCATTCCATAACAGGTAACATTGAGCTACACTGAAAAAATATTCATTTTTGAGAACAGAGACAATGACAATACCTTAAAATCAACTTAACATTAGCTGGCCATTATAGTATTGAAAGTTAAATATGTACCATAAATCCTGATTGTTTTGAAAAGCTGCCAAGCAGTTATCTGTAACGCAGCCTGGAACTTCTCTAAGCAATAACAATGATTCCTATAGTTTTGTTGGCAACACTTTCTATGAATGCCATGTCTAAATAATACATAAACACATTCATGCCACATTATGCATTCCTAAACCATTGTAAAGATAACACACTACAGCCATGTTTATTATGCGTCATGAATGCTTTATGAAGCTCTCATCTATAATGCACTATAGATACCTTCATAATGCAGTCCAAAGCACCTTTAATTCTTACACCGACTACTGTAATGCATTATAATAGTGCATTGTAGGTGACAGCTTCAAGTAAAGTGTTGGCTTCTTTTGAGTTTAAATTTTACATATGTAAAGACTGGGCTATAAGAGGTATGGAAGTAAATTAATGACAAAAGTCATTGATGCAAAAAACCTCGTTGAATTACACTAATCGAATAATCAAATGCATTTAATAATGCTTGAATACTTGGGGTGATTAAATGATAAAAATGAACTTTATAAAAACTCTACATTGAATTGTGGAAGCCGATTATTTTACCAATGAAATTATTTCCAGTTAAAATATTTGATGTTTAGATGTACATTCACATTAAATTACAGCCTCCAAATATTCAAACATAATTAAATGCAATGCGTTTTTATTCAAGCATTATTAAATGCAATGTGTTTTTATTCGATTAAATGTAATTCAACGTGGTTTTTTGCATCAACAACTTTTGTCATTAATTTACTTCCATAAATGAGGCAAAACTTTTATTGAGTTTAACTGGAAGGGAGCAGGGGGGGTTACACACCTTAGACTTCCTGCTATACTGGCTAAACTGGCCAGGACCTGGGCATCCTAACATTTTACTAATTCTACAGATCCCTCCATTGGTCGGTTACTCATCTTACATCATTATAAAAACTGAGCCAGACAGTGTTGGTGGAATGGAAGCTGCCCCTCCTGGCTGGTTCTAATGCTTTTCTAACACTTGCACAAATCCAACTGAGCAGGAAATTATAAAACCAATTAAAATACAGCAAACAGAGTGTTTTGGGCTCCATAGCATTCCTCAGAATTGCCTGCTACCTGTGTAGGTTTTCATTTGAAGAATTCCACTAAAATCCCCATTTTAGAAGTCCCACTTTAAAATAATGCTCAAATATTGTCGCAGCAAAAAATTACATTTTAAAGTATTAATAATTGAGTGTAAAATGTATGCTTTTCTACTATCCATAGGCTACTGATCCCTCATGCATGTTAAGTGAGAGAAACAGAGAGCGAAATATAAATGGATATTATTCGCATACTTACAGTTTCGTTATTATGCATATGGCTGTTACACAGTATTATATAGCAGCAATACTATATGCACACCAAACTATAAAGACAATAAACATTTCAATGAAATGAAGTGAACAAATGGGGGCGGTGAGTGACTCAGTGGGCTTGGACGCTGTGCCTCCGATTGGCAGGTCGTCGGTTCAAATCCCTGGGTTGGCAGAGTGATTGCACTGTTAGGTCCCCAAGGAAGACCCTTAATCCCCCAATTGGCTCAGGGACTGACTGACCCTGATTTCTCGAAAGAAAAGAAAGCATGTCGCTTTATATAAATGCACCTGCTAATTTAATGTAAATCAAAATAAATGTGAATTGATAACATTGGACGTAGCATTGTCTTTAATCGGCCCAATAGAGGGAAATTAAACTAATCTAATATCTAGTGTGCTAAGTCCACCTGGCAAATGTACTGAAGCTCAGAGTGACATAGGCTTACAGTCACTGCACTCACTGGAGCACGTGGATGGTACTGTGTGCATTCGCTGTCAGGAATACTAATTATGCAGCCAGCCAATAAATGCACTCAGAGAAGAGCAGTGCATATGCATATGTTATGTCTCGTGTGTTATTAGAACGTGTGAAGGGAAAATGTCCCATAAAAAGAGAGGAGACCTGGTGATTTTTCTCCATCACAAGACTGACTATGGACCCAATGGATGCAATTGTGAAGAAGATCATCGCAAAATTAATCAATATTATGAACAATTCTGCCCTTCTGCTTCAGAGGGTGCTACCCTGGAGCTCATTTGGCCACTGGCTCATTCCACCACAGTGTGCTAAAAAAATGCTACTGGGGATCATTCCTGCCTGCTGCCATTAGACACAACCCCTCCCAACGTGCCACCCCCCCCACACCCCACTCGCAGCCATAACACATCAGGAAGCATCCCGTCTTTTAAAAATATGAATCCAGTGCAATCTGCTATATGTATTACCATTAATAATTTATTATTATCATTATTATCATCATCATCATCATCATCATCATCATCATCAACCCACGTTAGTTTGTGTACGTTTAAGTGACTGTCAAACAGGTGACTGTCAAACTGGCAGACATCAGATGGAGCTGCACTGCTTCGAAACATGTAATGTTTTTACTCGTGGCATCAGGCAAAAGCTGAGGCGAGCAAAAGGGCAAAAGGATGTTAGTGATTTGGAAAACAAGCACCGTGCTTCAGCAGAGGGGCAGAGGATCCACATGGCTGCCGGGAGACAGGACAGCATCTAACCTTACAATGCCATGTTTGGCAAAATGCTCTCGGCCAAACATGTATGAAATAACACTGCAAAATGCCACTGATGTTCCTTTGATTAGCAGCCTTTTGTTACAACATAGTTTGGGTCTCTTTCTCGCTCTCAGCTGGCCTGCAAGAGAGTTCTGAGCTGTCATAACAATGCTCTTCACTTTGTCTCTCAAAAGACTTGTTGTGGGCCCAGCATGAATTATTAAACATCCCCAACTACTGAAATGGGGTTTTAATTGTTCAATTCCTAGCCAACGACGGCCATGTAAGCCTTAGCTCTGCATTATAAATTCTCGTACTGTCACTCTGTTTTCTATCAGGAATACAATCCCTGTCCATCTACACCAGAGAGGCAAAGTCCCACACCACGCTCAGCAATTCCATTCATATCCATAACAAGATCGGGGTACTCAGCAAAGTCACTTACTGGAGAGGAACTTACTCCTATGCAACAATAGGTATCACTGGTCACCTGTAATGCAGTGGGAGGTCAGAATAGGACAGACCAATAGAATATTAAATTTAGGGGCAACATTACATATTACATTACTTATAGACCATTTGATACACGTTACAGTGCATGAGTAAACTAACAAAATATACTTTTAGCAGGAAGGTAACAACTGGCAAAAACCTTAAGACCAGTCAAATTTTGCACTTCTTCTTAAAATGACCAAATGCTGTGTTTAGAAAACAACAACAACAAAAACCACGTCCTCACATACTTAATGATCATACACAGAACAGTGTGGGTGAAATCACCCAAGCAAACATTTTACATCCATTAGATATCAGCAGTCCATCTGTGCATTCACATAATTACAGAGCACATTGGTACATTGCTCAGTTACTCGTTTGTGCAAATCTCCAATGGTTACGGTACCTTTGCTGCGCAAAATGAAAAGCAGTAAACAAAACAGGATGAAGTGCATGTTGTATATGTCTTCACAAACAAGGGAGAGAAGTACACAGGAAAACAATGGTGACGAGTGGAAGGAAATTTTTCATCAGTAACATACAACACCTTTCCTTTGATTATTGCACATCATAATTCCCACTTGATAATTATGTTTGGTACAGGTATATGACATATGTCTCCACTGTGACTTCTTGTCTTTAACAGTGACCTACAGTTCCTTATCCTTCACCAGTTATTGCTCATCTCTTGGCAGAACAAATTATGTGATAGAGAATGAAGAAAACGACCTTTGGAGAGAGCCAAGTCATTAAATGAACGAAGAAATTAGTCTATGTATTGCTGTAGTTGCCGTCATTTTCATACAGTATATCTAACAGCAGCCGTTTTGCATTAATGCTGTCATGCACGACTACATCACTGAGTGACGTTTTCGATCGGTTTTCACCTTTAATTTGGCTTTTTAAGGGTACTTGATCTTGCCTATTGCAGATTGCTTATACGTCTTGTGCGATGGTGTAAACAGACGTGCAGGAAGGTAAATGCCACAGTACATCCTTGCGTCAAACTAAAATCCGAGCTTTGGAAATCGAAACTGGACTGTAGTTATCCATTACTTTCCTTACCATTCCATGGTCATCATCCAAGGCCAGAAAACATGCAACATTTAAACCAGTTATGGTAATTAAACTGTCTTTGATTTAGAGGCAAAGCTTTCACCCGACACCAGTTTTCACACCATTTTTTGAAACGACCACATTACCAATAATAATCACACTGTCCTGAAAAATCTATACATAATTGTAGCAATGCAAAATAAAAGTATGGAAAATCCTTGGCAAACACGACGTAAACTGTGTTTGTCAGCGCGATTTTAATTTTCCAAAACATGAAATCAATGATCTTCTAATGCCTTTGAAATCCAACACGGCAAACAGAGATTAATAATGTTATTTAAAGCAAAACAGGCAGGTTGAAAAAAGAGAATTTACGGTTTCCTTAAGCATAGACTGCCAGTCTTAAATGCGTTTCATAATAGAGATCTGAAACTTCCATAATACTGGCATTTTATAATCAATACATTCCTACCTGTTATCCGTCAGATGTGTGTGGGTTTGTGGAGCTGAAGCAGCCGTGATATCCTGTCCCTACTGCTGCTGCGTCCGTAAAATCAGATTTTCGGAAAACCGGCAAAGCCCGACGAATTACGTAAAAATATATTAAATGGCATTAAGCGGTGCCATTAAGAGTCGTGATCCGCGGATGCTTCTTCGGCAATATTATTCTAGGAAAAAGGCTCGTTGTCCGCCTTCTCCGTGTGCGTCAAAGGCTTGGAGGGGAGCAGCGAGCGACCGGTTCGTAGTGATCCCCATAAGAGCCGTTCATTCACGTTTGCAGTATAAGGAGACGGTGAGGCGAGCGATGATGCTGCAGCGTTCAGCGGCCCATTGGGATTTCGGTGGAGCGAGGGAGAGAGAATGGGGAGAGAAGGGAGAGAGAATGGAGAGAAGGAGTGAGAGAGAAGGGAGATAGAGGGAGGGGGAGCAGTGAAAAATACAGGAAATCAATTCTGAAAGCAAAATAAGGGCCTGGAATCCAACGTTTTAGGAAAATTAGCACCGTGGACAAACATTTTCTTTTCTTTTTTTCCTTTTTTAACAGATGGAGAGGGAACCAGGAGCAGACATCAGAAACAAAATATGCCTTGTACAGTACATGAGAAAATGCCACGTTTTATAGTGCAGCGGGAAGCAAAACCATTAGGGACAGCGATGGAGGTTACAGGTTCAAATCTCAGGAGGACCATCTGTAGTACACCTGACAATGGTACTTAGTCTGAATTTCACCCATAATAAACCCAGCTTATTACAGGTTAAAACCACAAAAAAGTTTATTTATATAACGGCATTATCTAATGAACTTGTAAAAATATGATCACCTCAAAGACAATATTTGGAAAGAAAAATATTTTTGTGCTTTTGTTTTATTTTGATACTGTATGTGATACTACTGGCTTCTGAATGGAACACACATTTTCCATTGTATGATTTTTTTTAATGGATGGTACTTTCTACATTTGTTTGTTAAGAAGGTATTTTTAGTTCCTCAAAGTAAAGTTATTTTGTAGTACCTGCAAGTAAAGCCATAGTGAATTCTGAACTGCGTTTTTGACACCCATGGAACTCCCCTGGTACTCGACTACTGACAAAGTACAAACAAAGAATGCCTTAAACCAAACCGTCCCAACCACCATGCTAGGATTTTGGCCTGGTGGTCCCCAAGTCCACCTGGTGGTCCTGGCTACGCAGACTATGCAGAACCTCATCAAGAGTGACAACCACAAGGTCACATAGACTTTTTACAATCCCCATTATCACAGAGGTAGCAGTGCAGATGTGATGGTTTGAGAAGGATCTGTTCAGCAATCCATCCAGGTTTTGTGACAGAGGAAAGTACTCACTTCAAGTTAGAAAAAGAATGTGGAAAGGTAAATCTGAATAGGTGAAATAACCCCAAAATCAATACAAGACTCCAGCCATCCACCTTTCCCCATTTATGTTGTACATGGCCCCACAGGGCTGGGAGCCTACACCATGGAGGGTAGGGCACAAGACAGAGGAAGACAATTACTAACTGCAATAACAATACAAGACATCTACAAAACACAGGCATTTTTTATCATGGAGAGAAATTGGAGATTTTTTTTTGTCAAGTTAGTTTTATACAGACAAAACAGCAGCAACCTTTTTCCTAGTTTTTAAAGAGATTTGTAACATGACAGTAATGATTCAATCATGCTTTCCCTGTTGCTGTACGTCTGAGAAAGAGATGGGAGACCAGAGCTGGTTGACACAGTTTTTATACACCTCAGACATCATGATACATATAATACATCATGATAACCTAACTACATGCAAATTAATCCTTAAGGTCTAAGCTAAAAATTAGATGCTTGATTACAGAAAACAATTACAGTGTACAGTTTGTTCAATTATAAAACCAAATTGTGCTACCCCAAGACAGAGCTGTTTGACACAGATTGTGGGCTTGGTTGCACAACATTAATATTCTAGGAATTTTTAAACAATCTAGTAACATACAAAAATACCAAGAATTTTGCTTTAATCCAAAGTAAAACCAAACATCCAATGCCAGTGAAATAAAGCTTCTGAATCGGCAAAGCATTCAAAATACAGTGGTACCTCAGTTCTCGAACTCATTAGAACTCGAATTTCTTAAAAGTCCAACCAACCAGTTCGAAAATAATTACCTAAAGCTCGATCTGAATCTCAAACCATGAACGCTGATCAAAGATAACTTGTACGCGCAGAGAAATGAGTCACGCCGCATGTCTCTCAGCAGAAACAAAGGGTAATGCTTCAGTCTCAGCCTCGCATTAGCTGTGATAGCATCGTGCATGTTTACATTAGCTGAATACATATATTTAGACAGTAAGAATACATTTAGACAACGATAGACAGTAACAGTAATTAGATTAGATGCGTTTAGTACAGTATATGCTGTTCTTGTTTTATTCGGTTCAATTTGTGTTTAAATGCTTAAAAAAAAACATTTAGGTGTAATTTTTTGGGGCCGGGAACCAATTACTGTTAATTGGTTTTCCGTTATTTCTTATGGGGAAAATTCGATCACAACTCGAACTTTTTAGAATTCGGTCTGGAGTTCTGAACGGATTAAATTCTTGTTCACTGTACATACTCCGTTTAAACATTGTCTAGTAGACTAATAAGAACAGCAATAAAACAATACAATCTTGGCCATGTGGGTCACATGAACACATCATCTAATGTCGGATTTCTGTGACAGTTCTCTGTACTGGCTTGGAAATTAATCGCTGTGCCAACCAACCCCAGTCTCCCCTACTTAAGTGCAATATACTAATTAAATACCCTGGTATGGAATTTGGCAAAACTGTTAGTTACTTTGGATAGAACATGCTGGCCAAGCAATGAAATAATAATGTAGCCTGTGTCTTCATGGGCTGGGAAAGAGAGTAAAGTTATGTGGTTGCTAGGAAACAGCTTTTATTTGTTTAAAACAAATTGTCAGTAGAATATGTTATTTTTGTATGTTCTCTGAGCAGGTCCATATGAATTGGATACTCGGTATCACATTATATAATAATATGGAAGAAGCAGGGATTCAGGTTCAAATCTCCATGAGGCAGGTGTTGCTGTAATCATTGCTTAAGTCTACACTCCACTGTCTGAACTGATCGCATTGGAAGCTTTGCCAGATTTCTTATGTATGCCAAAAAATTCTTGTGCGCTGTTACTGGTTTTCAAAGGCTCACACATTTTGTTATCTCAAACCTGCCTCCACACTGCTGTTTAGCTGGATCCAGCAAGCATTTTATGTAACTGGTACAGTACAGGTGACAGAAACCTAGACCTTAACTGTTAAATATGACCTAGATGTGAACCAGACAGATGGTTTTCTCTGCACTTTTTGACGATACAAAGCTGTCTTTTCTATGCAGTGACAGGGTCGACAAACTAAGTAGCCGACAATGTGGTGACATGACAGTAAATCCTTCAAATATTGCAGAAACATCAGAACAATAGCAAAGAGAATATGATTAATGAAATTAAGGGTATATTTAGTCTGAAGGTAAGTTACTGTACACTCTCACATCTTAGGTCTGTTCTGATAGGACCATCTGCAATGTGTATGGTGTATTAATTCAGCTGTATGTCCATCTTAACTGAGGTACTGAAATCAGGCATGTATTTGTTACTGATTTCCATAAACAAACAATACACTTGCTGTCTAAGCTAACCCCGAACTGTGCTATTACTGCTGCAATTTGGCCTGTCAGTTTCTATCTGCATTATATATCCAGCAGTCTGCTCACTAAATTGAGGCTGACGCTCTGGCTAGAAGGAATCTTAGCAGCCTTCATACCCTGGGAATCCATCCATGACTTTGGAAATGGTTGAATCATAATTAATTCTAAAGTTTTAATGGAGCCTGTTTCCAGTTACACATTCAAACCACAGAAGAATTCAGATGTCCTCAATCACAAGTGATGTTTTTCAGCTATGAATTAGGGCACATTTTTGCTAATTCAAAGGAACAGCCTAAAAAACAAAAAACAAGTCAGCAAACAAAATGTTTGTTATTATGCACATTGTCAATGTGACTTTATATTTGTGAAAAAAGTCTTTTATTTTAATTTAATTATGAGTATAGATAGGATTTTTATTCAGTTGAAATGCTCATATTTAGACACATCATGTCTATCCCATTTATGTATTTTGAAACCTAGCCATCCAAATAGCTTAAGATATGGAAGCCTGAATCAGTGACATTGAGTCAATTCAGTGATTTACACTGCTGGCCTAATGTATATATTCAAGCTTCATTTCATACTCATATTTAATGTTGTCAGTGTATCTAAGTAGGACAATGCACAGTTCCTGAGTTCTGTAGTATTCTGTAGCTATAACATCAACAGACCTCGCCACTGGAAGCCTGGGCCCTATTCTGAGGACAGAGCTGCCCATTTCATTTTTCCAAAACCAAAATGGAACTTGTCACAGCCTCAGCTACTTGTGAACGTGACAAGAGAGCTGTAGATTTTGGGGGAGTAGTGTGGACACTGGCATAATTAGATAGATATGGGGATGCACTACTTCCCTTGTGACAACTGCATTCTGGGTCTCTTTGAGGCTGTCTGTAACAGCAAACCATGACAGAAATTGACAGTCACATGCTGCTTAAATGGTAATGGGTTTTTCAGTAGGATGAAATTGTGACAGTGGTACCTCAAAGCACCCTATTACACATCAGTGTGATAGCCTCTGAAACGGAAGTATTAACCCATTCATAAGAAGAAAAGAACTGATCTATATGATTTGTTAACATTTTCCCCACCCAAGGCTAGCCACATGGTCTTGTCACAGATGGCTGTCTGTTGGTAGGTATTAGTCTTATTCAATTTACTATCATAAAACGTGATTTTCCTGTTAATTAAGCAGTTTGTCACAGGTATACTGAAAGTAAAGTGTTTCTTGTTCACTATGTAGTATTGAACCTTATCAATACAAGGAAATCTCATCTTCATCTCACTTGCTAATGCAGCATTGACAATTTGATTACACCATTATTTTCAGTGTCTGGAGCTCCTGCAATCACTTCCATGCTGGATTGGTTCAGATCAATTACACTTCATAGATCAGCATTCCGGAGTGGGATGGAGTTGTGACAATATTCCCAAGTGTATCAGACAGAAAATTAATGTCATATATATATGAAAAGTTAGTCCCAACCAAAAAATCTCATGAGAGGTTCTATGAGGACATTTCACATTAGCTGTATTACTCCGCTTTGCAGGTGTGTTCACTAATTATTAATTATGGACTGAATTTTCCGGATATGCGGAAAGTTTGGATGCAATAGCCCGTTCCACTTTTTTTGGGAACTATAATTC